CGTACGTCATGCGGACTGCACCCCTCGTGCGGATGGGCGGGAATGGAGGGTAAAAACCGTTGGGATATTATTATTATTATTATTAGTAATTGGATATTGGCATCTGGAGAACAAAACCCAAACTAAGCTTTGTGACCCAGTGTAAATATTCGGCCTCATGCATAAAAAGTGAGCTTAAGCTCAGACTCAATTTTTGCACTGATGGGGTGAATTTGTACTGAAAATCCAGTCGGGGCTTATTCTCACTTTTTATGCATGAGGCCCATTGAGTTTTATTTTCATTCTTTTACTTAAGAATAATGATAATTCAACAAACTCAACATATGTATACCAGCGTGATTTTCGATGTATCCTTTTCAGAGGTAACGACAACATAATAAAAAGAATAAGTCCCAAAATTTTCAGGTAAAAATTTCAGTTGGTTGTGTCTGCATGGCCCTTCAAATCTTAGAAATAATCAATATTTTTTACAATATTTGTATAATTTTAAGCGAAAACAACGAAAATCATAAAATAATGATTAAATGCTGATATAAATTATTTTGCTCATAATGATGACTGTGCCTGTAATTGACTCTCTCATTTGCCAGAATACCGAGTACAAGAACGCTTCCCGGTAAATTCTGTCAAAAACTTGCAACTTCTGGCGAGCTGGGGAATTCATCTAACTATTAAATACAAAAAAAAAGACTCAGGCATTTTATCTGAATTCGTTTGTATTTTGATTTCTTAACTTAAAAAATATTTGATTCCATACAAATGTTTTGGACATATTACATAGTATTATAAATAAAAAATAAAAAAAAACGTATTTACAACATTCTATATGTATATCGTACGTCCTACACAGGGAAATGTAAATGAAGATTTTACTAAAATAATTTCAAGTACAAAAATGTAATATCAATAGGATTGCTTTAGANCGTATTTACAACATTCTTTATGTATATCGTCGGTCCTACACAGGGAAATGTAAATGAAGATTTTACTAAAATAATTTCAAGTACAAAAATGTAATATCAATAGGATTGCTTTAGAGTTACGAGTATTAAAAATTTTTAGTTAAGCCTTTTCAAAGGATCACTTTGGCGTTTTTTTTTTTTTTTTTGTTTTTTGTAAACTTATGTGTGCATTTGTATTAGTTTGGCTGTGAACGCTGTGAGAATCCTTTTATCTAAATGTACGTATGTGTGTACATATGTACATGTGTACATGTGCATATATATATTATTATGCATATTTGCGTAGGATGTTTGTACAATATGTATGTATCTGTAAAGTAAATTCTTTGTTGTTGCTGTTTGCGTTGACAACGATAAAATAAATATGTAAATATGTACTCCCGTTGAGTACGCTAGACTTCTTCTATTTGCGTACAAAATGTATGTACATACGTATGTATACATATATATTTCTAGTATTTGTTTTTAAGTGAGTCTATCTAAGNATTTTTTGTTTTTTGTAAACTTATGTGTGCATTTGTATTAGTTTGGCTGTGAACGCAGTGAGAATCCTTTTATCTAAATGTACGTACATATGTACTTATGTATATACATGTGCATATGTATATTATTATGCATATTTGCGTAGGATGTTTGTACAATGTATGTATGTATCTGTAAAGTAAATTCTTTGTTGTTGCTGTTTGCGTTGACAACGATAAATATTGTATGTAAATATGTACTCCCGTTGAGTATGCTAGACTTCTTCTATTTGCGTACAAAATGTATGCACATACGCATGTATACATATATATTTCTAGTATTTGTTTTTAAGTGAGTCTATCTAAGATTGTGGCCAGCACAGGTACAATTATTGAGGTTAGATGATTGCATACTATTGCTATATCCGATGTTCGTTTATAATTTTTGTGAATATTCGGGAAGACGTGGAATGTACAGCAAAGTGGTGGTATCTTAATATCCATAGAGGTAGGGGTACATAGGCACAAAGATGGCAGGTCCCAGTTGACGCTCTTGTGGCATATGGGTCTTCATGTGTTTTTTCAAATGGTCGCGACGTCCAAATTTCTTACCGCAAGCGGCGCATGGATATGGGCGGAGTCCTGTATGTATGCGTTTATGGCGGGTAAGTTCCTCATTGCGTGTAAATGTTTTGCCACATGACTCAACGTCGCATTTGAAGGGGCGTTCGCCTAAAAGAAAAACAAAAGAAAGTTAATTAAATCTGATATACTTTCCAATTTTGCAGGCTTTTGAAGTTCAACTTACCAGTATGTATACGTATGTGTCCCTTCAGTTGTCCATTGTTGGAGAAGGCAACATCACAGTGGGGGCATTTAAATTTCTTTGGTCGCTGCTTTCTCGCATTGATGGCTTTGAGATGCGCTTCTTCGGCCATAATGCGCGCATATTCCTGCTCCATCAGGCCGTAGGTGTACGCGTCCATGCCGACAAAACTGGCTGCGGTGGCAGCTGCTGCAGCAGCAGCGGCGGCAGCGCTACTCGCCGATGCGGGCATAAGAGAAGTTGGGGGCAACGCTGTAGCCACTTCACAGGTTCTACTCATAGCAGCAGCTTGTGCTGTGCCATTTTCATAAAAGAATTCGGCAGGCATTGCAGTTGCTGGCAGCGCCGTCGTTGTTGGCAGGACATTTTGAGCCAATAAATGCAGTTGCTGCTGATGATGCGCCTCAAATAATTCTCTAGCGTTTAAATGATGCGCCGCCGCCGGCATTGCTTGCCTATGCGCTGCCGATGAGGATCTCGTTCCAAATCCGTTGTTGCTGGACGATTGTGAAGTAGATCGTGTAACCGTGGGTTGGACGCCACTTATCGTACGTGCTGCGCGCTGCTCATGCTGGTAGATGTCGTTCTCATCGCTGAGTTGGCTGAAATTACTTTGACTGGATGCGCATTCGGAGGTACGGCTCGTGTGTAGGTAATCTTCATCGTCGACCTCCACCTCTTCGTCTTCTGTGTCGGATTGCTCAGCTTCCATGGCGTCGTCCTCGACTTTTAAAAATTCCACCTTAATGGTGTTCGCAGCGGTGGGTGGTGTACCAACGCGCTTGGTGCTTAGATTCTGCGCCGCTGTGGGGTGGTTGCCAGGGGCCATATTGCTTGCCTGCCCGACGGCAGAGACGCCAGCCGCAGCGTTGGCATTGGGGGCGGCTGGGGCTTGGTGGGTATGTGTTACTGCTGCTGCTGCTGCTGCGCTACGTTGCGACATGTCCCAGGGACGGAAGAGGCGTGAATAAGTTTGTGGTGGACACTGAATTCTTAACGAAGACATTTTCATTTTATTTTTAGATACTCAGTTTAGCAATAAAGTTTTTAAGGTTTCACTTTTTGATAAAAATTTGTACACAGGCTTTTATTTGTTTTCAAAAAAATTCGGCAAACACTCGTTAAAAGGAGGAAATAAGAAAACTAAATGTAGAAAAATAATGCGAAATGCTTGCGGACTATGCCGTGGCGGTGTGACGCGTGCGTGTGAACACTACGAAAACTCAACGATAACTGACTCGGTTGTTGCTACAAGCGCAGCATTTAAAGTCCTTTCGCAGGATATACGTGCCTTCGTCTACCTACACTATTAAATTTATCTGCCATCTTCCTGGTCGCGCACACAGATACACACAAATACAAATGTGATTACTGCCGCTCAAGTACACATACTGACACACCTACAACGGAGTGTTGCTACTTTTATACTCCACCCTTAAAAGTGCGCTGCTCGTCGTTGATTCATTCATGAACAAGAGCAATCCCTGCGGTTTTGTCGCCTGCCTCTATCTTGCCTGTTTCCAGCCTTCGTGAGTGGCAGGTCCGTCTGCCTGCTTGCCTGTATGTCTGTCTGACTGGTTGTTGGCTCTGGCTGCATGCCCTTCGTCAATTCGCAGACAAGCGCGTACACACACACACACACACACATACACACTCACTATCGTACATACATGCGTCCCTTTTGAAATTTGGGGATGATTATTTCAGCAATGGCTGCTGCGAATCTTCCTGCCTTGTATTCTTGCCACTACCTCTTGTTTCTTGTTGTCTTTTCATGCTTTGCGAAATCAAATTTATTATATTGCATTATATATTTTACTTGTGCCATTAGTATCAGTTGTTGTTGCTGCAATAGTGAGCGGTGCGTATTGAGCTGGAAGATCATAATAATTGTGTTTCTATGCGACGACGACGACGACGACCAAAAAGTCAATGTTTCGTGTTACTGCAGCACTTTAACTAGCGCGCTTTTTCTGTTTATGAATTTTACGCTTTCCCACCGACAAACCCTCAAATGGATGCGCAGTTTTTGAAAAAGTTATCAGCCTCCTTGCCAACCTACCCCCACCCTATGTGTTGTCGACCCACAGCCACTCCACGCCATATCGCGCGCCTCATGAACTCTCCCCTCTCTGTAACGGTTGTGTTGAGTATAAGGAAATCTAACTATTGTTTTTGTTTTTTTTGTTATTGTTGCCAATCTAGGCTTCACATATTAAGTGGGATTCTGCCATTTGCTAAAGCTGTTACAGATGAATGTATCTGCAAATGTACATATGTGCGTATGTATGTATGTGTGAATATTTTTGGGTGAGTGCTCCTGCGGTTGTTGTTGTGGGTAATGTTCGCCGTTAGACACTTTCCTATTGAGTGGAGGTGTGCTTATTTAGCGCGCCTACAGATTTTGCGGGCATTTCGCAACTTACGACGCTGTGTTAAAATGCTTGGGGCTCGGTTGAATGGACATCAATTTCATCGTTGCCATAATCATCAGCAGCCCAATCATGATTATTGGATGGAGCATCGCTTACTATTCCGCTTTATATTGTTGCATTCATTTATAATTTGGACTCTTTTTCGGTACGATTGGGAATTTTCTGCGAGTACATAGAAATATTACACTCTGTGACAATTTCCAAAAAAAATTCAGATATCTCAACGAAGTTTGGTCTGTAGGTTGCTTTATCCAAGGTAGGTTGGTTTTGAAAATGATACACCTTTGTAGTCATAGAGTGGGCGGTGCCGCGCCCGATTCCTAAAAATCTGTAGAAGTTTTAATTAATTTATTGATAAGAGATTGCTGTAAATATTAACTTAGAGTAAATTGGCATCCTCAGTTACTGATTTAACGCAGTTTTCGTGTTTCTGTAAATTACCGTTATATGGGAAGTGGGCGTGGTGAAACGGCTAGTGAGATACAGCATTTCATCATAAGTGGGCGGGGTTACGCCCATTTTCCAAAAACTTCATAATAATATTATTTTTTTAGCAAATTCTACTCCACATACTAATTTTCAACAATTTGGATCCAGTATTTACTGAAATGTCGTAGTTCTTTCATTTTTCGAAAGTACCGTTATATGGGAAGTGGGCGTGGGTACAGTCCGATTCCACCCATTTCCAATAACAACCTACATTGCGTAAAGGGCAACCTACTCACCAAATTTCGTTGAGATATCTCAAAATTGGCATGGCTTAATCGACTTCTCTATTATTAATTCTGAGCATTCATGTATGTATATATTTGTCTATATGTATGTCGACTCGTTTTGGCTGTTACAAACAACCGTTATGTGAACAAAGTTAATATACCTTTGTGCACAAGTGAGCACAGTTAGCATTCAATGAAAAGTATAATAAAAAAATATTTTGTTAGTTTCTATAAAAAAATATTCCGAGATTGTGTCAATAGTCACACCTGAACTTAATCGTTTCTTTAAATTTAATACTCATTTTAAGTTTTGGCCATAACCTAGTAGCTCTATGAAGCGGTAAAAAAATAAATCATTAGAAAATAATGTACGGCCCATAGGATATGTACGCATGTCTCAAGTAATTACGTTTTAATATGCATACATAATGTGACCAACCGTACTTCTTTCGAAAGTACAGTACTTCGTACTTCGAAGTACAATCAAATGTACTTCTTTGCAATGTTTTGTACTACCCAAGGCACATTGAAAAGAAAGTATCAGTAGCGCAGCTGATTTGATTTTTTTCAAATTATTCCGTCTCTAAAATGTCAATTTAATTTAATATAAATTGACAAAATGGTTTTGCATACAAAACAAGCGATTGAAAAGCAACGTTTGCAACGTTCACCTAACTCCGCAGCACAAACGCTGATTACTGGGTACTGCACATGATGGATCAATACTTCGAGAAGCAAACAAAATTTACTAAGAAAGAAAGTCGCACCAATTTTTTTTCCAAATTTAATGTTTAATTTTTTTTTACTCAAATTCAGAACAGTTTTTGACTCTTTAGATAAGACAAGCAACAACAAAATACGCCTTGGTACCATGATTCAATAATTAAAGGTTTGCTCATTATTGACATTAGAGTTTTGACACTCCGTTAACTCCCTTTCAAAAGCTTTGCATACACACACGAACCCACACACAGTGCTTTGCTAAGGGAGCCGATTTTGTCAAGAAGGAGCGAGAAAACTGTATTTTGAGAAAACCTTTTATAANGTATTCATATTGGATATCGAAGGTAATTTTCGAATGGTCGCCAAAATGTTTATAGGGTTTTCATACACACACGAACCCACACACAGTGCTTTGCTAAGGGAGTCGATTTTGTCAAGAGGGAGCGAGAAAACTGTTTTTTGAGCAAACCTTGGTACTACCTTTCAAGTTGAAGTTTCATTAACTGTTTCGAAAAATTTCACAAGGTTAGTCATCTCAGTTAAGAAAGGTACTCATAGATCGACACATAAATTATGACTTTCAATCATTTCACATCTCTATTTAGCTGACAAATTTATTTACAAATGGCTACTCAATAAAGAAAAATCAAAAGGTGTTAGAGAGATTAAAAATTCTGTGGCGAATCTTACTTGCTCTTGTGGATATTCAGAAACGACAGTATCGATCCGCAGTTGCTGCTAAAGAACGTAGAAATGCTTTATTCAATGTAAAACTTTACAAATTTTGCCATGCAAATATTTCAAAAATGGTGTAATGATTTTTATATCTGGAATATTCGTGCAAAGTTTCAGATCGAGCACTTTAATTTGATATTTTTTGTGTGAAATAGTTGGTCACATTATGCATACATACACATGTACATACATATATGCAAATGCATTTAAATTTGACCGCAGTTCCGTGTGGAAGGAAATGACGAAGAAACTATAAAAATAATAAGAAATACTAATTGTTAATAATCTCTTGGTTTTCGTAAACGAAAGGGTTAAAGTCTCAATGCTCGTCTTACACACAAGCATATTATCTTAATTTATACCTGCCCGTGCGGTATCTATGTAAGTATTATTCTTCACAAAAGCGTTAATGTGTTCTCGAAAATAGATTTAGTACGCCTTGTTGCCTACTCTTTAACAAAGAAATAACTATACATATTAAGTAATTGCATAAGCTGGAGTTTCTTTTTGTTTTTTTTTTTTTCCTGAAATATTTTTGGTGACGCCTTCAAGCGCGTGCTTAATGATGGGAAATTCCGCATATAATATCTATGTCGAGGATTATCATGTTTGCACTGTGTCTGCGATAGGTTGGTATGTTGTTGTGGGGCCTAGGTATCAATGTAAATTTCTGTTGCTCAATTGCTGAATGAGATGGAAAGACATATCGTCGTTTAAAGTACAAAACCGCGTAACTGACATTTGCTGCCAAAAATTGGATTTACTCACACAAGCTCTTGGCTCAAGCCTTATCCATTCGTCCTGAAATATACTAGCCAGAAATGCGATTAATTAATAAAAAGGAGAACCATTTTGAAATGTATTTTTACAAATGTTTGTATATCGCTAGCTTAGAGTGAAAAGTTGCTAAGTCTATTTTTCTAAATTCCACAGGTGAGGAAAGAAACTCCATACGCACCAGAAGGATTCGATCTTAATTAAACGATTTCGTATTTGTTTGGCTTTGTGGGATTTTCGATGCCTATTTTGGACTTAGCAAATTTGCTTTTCATTGAATATGAAAGAGGAAAAATAAAACATGAAAATATGAGATTTCACAAAAAGTATTATTATTATTAATGCAGAAATGGCATCCCCACTTTCTCTTATGTTGTGCGAAAAAAATCATGATGGTTTTCGTTAATTATGGTTAGGTTCAGGTTCATGTGCGGATATTCGCTTAATATACGTTAATTTTCGAATATTCGGGTATTGAAAAAATCCGGATAGTATTCCCGGCCCTAATGACCACTAAAAAAGTTGTCAAGGTTCATTTAATACATTTTTAATCAATTAGTTAATTCGATTAAATTCAATACAATTACAGTTAATCATGATCAATTTTAATCTGATTAAACAGCTAATCGTAACCGTGATTAAAAACAATTAATTTTTAATCATTAATTTATGCTGAAATTTCCATGTGCTCACAAAGCCAGTTAATCGGACATGGCTAAGTCGAATTTCCTCATCAATCTAAGCAATTTAGTGTGCATTTTCATTAAGATCTATTCCAACAGACGTTTTACAAA